GGGGGGGGGGGCGGTCCTCTTACACATTTGAGGGATAAAAGACATGCAAAGGCAAAGGAGGCTGGAGTCTGAAATTACCCCCACCAAGAGCCTGAAACCTTTCCCTGCCTTTTCAAATGTTAAAAAACTGGATGCCGATGGATCTAATCTAACACCACTGTGAGGCTTACGGGTGGGGAAGACCGGTTCTTCTGAGCTGAGAAAAGGAAGTTTTCACCCAAAATAAAGACAGGGCACGGATGGCAGCCCAGCGTACTGGCCCGCATTACCGGCAGAACTAATCCTTTTCTCACACAACTAAAGCTACGGGCTTTAATGACATTAGGGATTTGGAACACCACAGATTAAGTTATAGTAATAGCACAGTATTCCTCATCTCCAGCTCTCTTTATTCTCGCTAAGCATCTAAGCCCCACAACACCCTAGGGACATGGAAAGGGTCATTTCATGTCTAGTGAAACCTAAGCCAACGGAGCTTCATCTACCTGAGCAGTGATCCCGAGAAAAGGCAGAGGGAAGACAGCCGAGTTGAGCCCCAGATGCTCCGCCACCGCGCCCTGCGCGTCTCCAGAGCCCTCCCCAGTAAGTCAGCATGCCGTGTGTATGGCACACCGTCACCCCTCCCTCCTGCTGGCTACCTTGGGGCGGAGAGTAGTCGTCCGAGTCGGTGTCGCTCTCACTGCTGTCCTCCACCAGGAAGGCAGGATAGTTCCAGGACATGCTGAGGATGCCATCAGACTCGTGTAGGAGGACGTGGGCGAGCATCCTGCCGTGGCAGTCCATGACAATCACCTGCCCGTCAGCTGTGCCAAACAGCACCTGCAAGCAAGGACCAGGACCCTTGACGGATGAGAAGGGGCTGAGAGGTTTCTGGCAAACCTCATCACCTCAATTTGTTTAGAAGGACAAAATGTATTTAGGACTAAAAAAACAGAGCAGTTAAGTAGCTGAGCGGATACACAAAGCATTACATACCAGAAACTTAGCTGGCTATTATTGCAAGAATTTTAGTCCTCTTAATACTGAAATGTGACTAATGGCAAAATAAACACATTTGTTATGCTGTATGGATATTTACAAATAATACCAGCAAAATCACTGCCTCACTTTTTGTGGGTTGTTTTTGTTTGCATGTTTGGGTTTTTTGGTTGGAGAACGAGGGCTAAGAAGATGACATTTCTTTTTCTTGGGAAAAAAAAAGCAGCAGCAAAGGTTCAGTAAGAATTTCTCAAATTTAGAAGGAAAACTTCAGCTGTATGTTTGACAAAAGAGAAAATATACTTGGTTATATAAGCAGGTTATCTAACCACACTTGGAAAGAAGATGCTCCTGAAATAGTTTGTCTAATGTTCTATTTAACTAAGAATAATATTGGTATTAATGTATTAATTAATAATTAATGTTATAATGTACTAACAGTATTACCACATTTACTGAGTGCTTACTTCGTGCTAAGCACTGTACTAAGAGCTTTACCTCATGTATTGTCAAAATAATCCTGGGAGTTAAGTACCAGCACTGTAGATACAAAGCTCAGATGGGCTGACACCTGGGTGTGTGGAGGGCTGCCCCCCCAGAATTCCCCTCACTGCACCTGGCCCTGGAGCACACACTCAGGAACGTGCTGGGGGTGCAGGTAAATACATGGTCAGAGTTAAAGCACAGGCAGGGCAGAGGAAGGGTCAAACCCCTCCACCCGCCCCCCAGTCAAGGCAGCAGAGGAGCATCTCATGGCTGCTAGAAGCCCCCGAAAGGAGCTGTGTCTTCTAGCTGGCTCATCCATGGATGACACCAAGGGGAACCTCGGGGCCAATGGAAAGTGGGACCTCTGTGGGGGAATATACCATGTTCTCTTCTGCTTTGTGTGGTGGGCTCTGTAGTTTCTGCATCTGTTGGCATTTAAAACTTTTTATCTTTTGTGTTTACTGAGATCTGTGCATCCATCAGCAATGACTGAGAAGCATGCAAATTCCATTCTACAGATGCAGAAACAACTTGAGAAGTTAGGGCAGCTGACAAGGCCATTAAGTAGTCAGGCCACCAGGCTATCTTACTGCAAAGACTAGGATTTACACAAAGGGAAAGCTATTTAGGGCTTGTTAGGTCCTTGCCTCTTTTTGCTGTTAAGATTTTGACATTAAGCTCTTTGGGGGGCAAAGACTGTCCACAGCTGTCCCCCTGGTAACTAACAGCTTTGGGTACAGAGGGCACTTAGTAGTATTTATTGTTAAATGAAGTAAAGTCAGTGACCATCGAAAGGCATTTTTAGGACATGAATCCTGATGATTAAGATAGATCAACTGCAAGGGAAGATATATTTCATTTAAGTAGTAAAAAGCTCACAGAATTTACAGAGCTGTTTTAGAATTGCCTGTCCATCAAATATTCCTTTAAACATGTCTACATTTTAATGACTGAAAACTAAAAAAAAAAAAAAAAAAAAAAAGGGGCTAAATTGGTTTTCTCCAGGGGCAGTGAGGAATCTATTACTGCACTCAGCTTAAAGAAGAAACACACAAACTATGAGGAACACAATGAAATCTTTTAGAAGATGCTGAATCTTTGGCTGCCGATGGAGAAAATAAGTACCGGCAGGCACGTCTGCAAAGACCTCATGAGGCACAGACACAGAGAGATGGGGGCACCGGAGTTGGGGGATCAGGCCTGCTGAAGCCCTGGACAAGGAGGCACCGGAGTTGGGGGATCAGGCCTGCTGAAGCCCTGGACAAGGAGCTTGCCAGGCAGTTTTCAGTGGTGATAAAGATGGAACAGGAGTTCTCATAATTTTAACTGAAATGTACAATTTATATATTTCTTTTTTTAAAAGATTTTATCTATTTATTTGAGAAAGGGGTGGGGGCAGGGAGAAGTAGACTCCCCGCTGAGCAGGAGGCCTGACTCGGGACTCGATCCCAGGACCCTGAGATCATGACCTGAGCCAAAGACAAGACGCTTCACCGACTGAGCCCCCTGCGGCGCCCCTAATTTATATACTTCAAAAGAAAAAGACATGGGGGAGCCTCACTGTAAGGCCAATGTCACGGGTGATGTCCCCAAGAAGCAGACTGTTTTTGTCTCCCTTTCCACATTCTCCTTCATTGCTCCAGTCTGTTCTGAAGAGAGGCCATGTACCTTGGTGCTGGGTAGGGGGGTTATTTTATCATTTATGACTGCTGTAACAGAGACAGCTCATTAGCAGGCCACGGCCAAGAGTTACTCTTCACAAGTACTCACAATTAATAATCTGTATCAATCGCAAAAAAGTTGCCAAGCCCCCGTTACAGGGTCACATTACCCTACCGTCTTCCACTGGTGCGATCACCACTGTTCTCATCCCTCACTGTGCCATTGTGTGATTTCTGCCTGACCGCTGTGCTAGGCTATGAGCTTTTCAGGACATGGCCTATGTGTGCTCTGCTCACTACTGTCTCCCCAGGGCCTGTCATAGTAGATGACACATGGCAGTAAGTATTCGTGAAGGGAGGGAGGAAATGCCTCTGCAGGGAAGAATCTTTTAAGTAATGCTCACATTTGTCCATTTTAGAGAAGAACAGATAGCAGACAATAGAACAGACATTGAATTTCTGGATAAAGGATGGGTGATTTAGTGAGGCGTCGGTGTTCGACATTACACTAAAGCCTGCCCCCAAATTCTCCACCATGAATCACTCCCAACTACTGCTCTCCTGGGAAGATAATGCATTATTAAGATCAGAGAGAAGGGGAAAAGCAGCACTAACAGTCTAGTTGTCAAGCAATGATGGAAGAAGTTACTCTGTTTGGGGACAGGTACGTCACAGATAACTGAAGAACACCGATACAACACGAAATCAGATTTTAAAAAATCTCTTCTATTTCAAGTTCTCTTCATGCCTTATCACTCCCAATGAGACAAAGCTTATATGAGCAAAGGACTTTAAGAGAACAAGACAGAAAAGTCGAATAACCATGAATACACAAATAGGCACATACATCAGTCTCTGCTTCGACTCCCTCATGCTGGAGCTCTAGATAAGCTGGTGCTGGCTCCTTCCCCGCTTGGCCCTAGGCTGTCTTCCCTCTCTAGGAGATTACAGTTGTGTGCATGGCCTCAAAGGCCCTATTCAGGGCTCAGTCCCTGCTCAGGCCTCTTCCCTATGCTCCAGACTCCCATATCTGATATTTCCTACCTGCCACCTACCCCTGAATGTGCCAAAGGCCCTTCAGAACCAACATGTCCCAGATGAAATACATGACTTCATCCTTTCCCCAATCTACACACACACACACACACACACACACACACACACACACACACACACACACACACAGAGCCAGGTCCTCTTACAACAAAGCAAAGACTGTGACTTGTGTTTTATCTCCAATGTCCAGTACAGTGTCTGGTATAGAACAGGGGCTGACATCACATGTGAAGGCTTTGGGGACCCACCACACGGAATTAATCTCACTTTAGCCATGGCCCCTCAGTACTCTCAACTTTGCTCTGTTTTTGCACACCTGACTTTCCCATTAAACCGTGAGCTTCTCGAGGGCAGGTCTGCATCCCAAGTTCTCACATGCTGCCTGTCACAGGCAGATCCTCAGGGACTATTAGTAAATGTATTTGTGCCCAAAGCTTTGGCCTTTGCCCAAAGTCTTCCTACAAATGAAGCGAAAACTTCTTTCTTTTTTAAATTATAAACCAATGCTCAAATCCTCCCATAAAACTGGCCTCCAAACTACTTTCAATAATGGACAAAGAAAATTTCTGTCTCGTATTTTTCCTGCTGTTTTCTCTGTTGGATTGCAGGCTTCATGTAGGGGCCGGGACAATACTCCCTTGTCATGTCTACACCGAGAACCAAACAGGCTGGTCGAAACCTTCGAAACCTGCTGGCCCTCAGGCCATACCCATTCAATGGCTGTCCCTCATTGCAGGCAGTGTTTAATATCAGTGTACTCCATTCTAAATTATTTTTAGATGTAATTACTTAAAAATATAACACAATTATTACCAGTAATTTAAAATGAACCAAGCCATGAGCCAAAGGTGGTTAAGAAGAAGATGTAAAATCATTCAGAAGATTTACGTTTGGAACCAGTGATAATATCTCATCAGTACTTTTATTTTTGGAGACCTGTACTCATCTACATTTTTGAATAAAGACCACATTAGGAAATTTCAACTACAAAAATACATGCTTCTATAAATGTTCACCTCTTTTGCAGAATTTAACTAGCAGCCATTGGAACTAGTTCCAGAAGGAGGTGACCTTTTTGTCTATGTATTTTGCTTTTGTGAATAAGCTAGGGGAGCGGATAACATGCTCCTACTAGCAATCTCAGCCCCACTGGTGGCAAATGTCTAAATGTGCCACGGTGGAGAGAGGAATGAAGGGACAAACCATGATGTCCCTTTGCCCTTTAGAAGGAATCTTCTCTTCAGAGATGCTACTGAAGTAAAACTTTATTTTTGAAAGACCTCCCTGTTGGAGTTTCAGAGCACTAGCTTTCAAATGCTTCAAGGCCAGATTTGAGTATTTTGACACTAAAGAAATAGAGTCACTGAAATCAGACTGTTGTAAATGACAGAATTCCTCAACTCATTAACAGAATATTTCCTGGTTTAAATAAAAAGGATGAAATGTAATTTCACAGTTGACTCTAACAATCATTTTTTTCTTTTTTTTTTTTTTTTTAAAGCGGGAAGAGGGAGAGAGTTGGGGGAGGGAGGGGCAAGCAGGGTCCATGCCCAGCACAGAGCCGGATGCTGGGCTTGATCTCACAACCCTGATACCACGACCTGAGCCGAAATCAAGAGTTGGATGCTTAACTGACTG